TTATTTGGTATTCAAGATGAAGCAGTAAGGGAACAAATTAATTATGTTCTTAATGAAGATGAAATTATAGGAAAAGGACCTAATGGCACTCTTAGCATGATTTTTGATGGAATTAAAAAATTGAACAAAGGTGAAAAGCATTTAAAGATTACTTGTGATATGCTGGAGGACAGAATAAAAATAACACTACTATTTGGTTTTATTTATATTTGGTAATTTGTGGTTACTATGAAAGTATTGAATTGAATTTCATGATTCCTGGACATACTAAATTCAAATGTGATGGTAATTTTGGGATGATCAAAAAACTCTATAGAAGTACAAGAGTAGATTGTCTGGACCATGTGGTTTCAGTAGTAAAAAAGTCTAGTCCAGCAGGTTTAAATAAAGCTCAATGTTATGAAGGTGGAAAAGGTTTTCAATATTTGGATATCAAATCTATTTTGGGAATTTATTTCAAGAAATTACCAAGTATACAGAAATTTCAACATTTTCTTTTTAAAGCATCTAATCTTGGTACAGTGAAAGTTCAAGAAGTTGCTAATGGACCTTTTGCTGAATTCAGTTTAATGAAAACCAAGAAAGTAGATATTTTGGAAGAAATTAGAGCTTTATCTATTTTAGTGTTAACACCACCTTCTTTGGATTACAAAAGACAAGAATATCTTTATCATAATATTCGCCCATTTGTGAAAGATGAATACAAAAATATTACTTGTCCAAGACCATTCTATACTGGCAACAAATAAAATATTCAGAACAAAATCACCTTCATTATTTCATCACTTCCTTGCTGTTATCAAGTTTAATAAGTTAATCTTTTAACAAATATTGTTAGCTATTTTCCACTTTTAAAGTAAAAAAGTACTAAAATAATTTATATACTTAATACACCCTTATAAAAAGGATATAAGTATATTAAAAGAATATATAAAAAAAAGGAACAAACAAGAAAATCATGACAAACATCATAAATGAACAACAAAATGAATATAAAGAACTATTAAATGAAATAGAAACACTAAAAAAGCAATTAGAAAACAAAGAAGATGATTTTAAACTAAGAATTTGAAATGCTATTGACAATGTTAAGGAAAATAAAAGTCCAGAAATTGCTGGAACTTTAATGACCTTAGAACAACATTTTTGACCCAAAGATAATTGAGTCAATGTTCAAAAAGAAAATGGAGTTGAGAAAGTTATTTTTGACAATCAATTCACTCTTGAAAATGTTGTTAAAGGTTTTACCGAGTGAACACTAACTAATGCCAATTCTTTTAGTTTTATTTATGACAAAAATAAGAAATTAGAAGAAAAGAATGCTATTTTAGAAAATGGGAATACTGAGTTAAAAGAAGAGTTAGAAAAGAATAAACTCCTTGTTGAAAAATGAAAAGCAAGAGCAGAGAAGGCTGAAATAGATAATGAAATTCATTTAGAGGCTTTACAAACAGGAGGAAAAGAAAGATGAACTCAGAAAGAAGCATCAGCAAATGAGATAGCAGAGAAAAACCAAAAGTTAGAAATTTCTAGTAAGATAATTGAGAATAAAGATGCAAGAATTGGTGAATTAGAATGAGAACTAAAACAAGAAAGGGAAAAAGTAGAGGTGTCTAATAAGATAATTTCAGAAAAAGAATCACGAAACAAAAATCTCACAGAAGAAAACAAAGGATTGCAAAATCAATTGCATTTAGCTGAAAAGGATTTACCTGCTTTACCTAAAAAGCAAAGCAAATTTAGACAATTAAGGACAAAATTAAAAACTGAATTCCATCAATTGGTGGAAAACAAAAAATGCCAAATCCAAGAGTTAGTTGCTAGAATAGAGGTAAGTAGATAATTAATGAGAGGATTAACTTACACACTTTTAGATTTAGAAAGATCAAGTCGGAAAACATGTGATTTTTGTTCTAATTGTTATGGAGAGGATAATAAATCTGTTGACCAAATAGTAGCTCGTGTTAAGGTAAATGGTAAATATGTTGCAGATGATGTAGTGTGTGAAAATTGTAAGGAGAAATTTGAGAATGATGAATTGGAAAAGTGAGAGAGATGTGGTAGATTACAAACTAAACATTATATTGATGTTCATGGTGATAAGTATGTTTGTTTTTGTATTAGATATGAAGAAGACATGGAAGAAAAGGAACTCCCTCTTTTGCCTAGTGAGGAAATAAGTCAGTCTGCTTTTTATGAAAGACAAATAAATGGATTACAAGAAGAATTAGCCACTGCTGAAGAAGCATTAGAAATTGAAAGAGAGGAAATAGCCAAGTTTCAAGAAAATCCTGAGAAATGAAACAAAAGACAGAAACAGGAATTATTAGATAAGATTAAACAACAAGAAACAGAAATTATTAAATTGACTCAGAAAATTGAACAATTGAAAACTTTAACCCCTCAAGTGTTAGTCAATAAGTTAAATGCTTGTGAGGCAGAGAATGAGAAATTAAAGAACCAGTTAGAACAATTACAACAGAATGGTCAATTAACTGCACAAGTTGAAATTAAAGAAACTAAGAAATGACCTTGATTGAAAATAAGAAAGTAATTTTTGGTTATTTCCCTCTGTATAATTCCAACTATCAAAGAAAATGATAGTTATTTTCCTTTTAAAGATTTTTGCTTTTTATTAGGTAATAATACATCATCATGATGCTTTCTTTTCCCAACATTTATTATTTTTCTTTCTTCATGGTAAATTTCATAAGTAATCTTTTCTTTTCTTAGATAAGCTTCCAGCATCTGAATATCATTTATTTTGAAAATGTAAGGTGCAATTTTTTCACCTTGTTCCTTCTTCAAAATACTTCTAATGGTGCTATAATTCTTGGGTTCCATAGTAGATCTGATATAAATGAGTTTCATATTAACTATTTTTATATATAGGTAATTCTATATTAAGAGGATAACAAATGAAAGATTTTAATAACCACATTACTAAATTTTGATCCCTGAAATCTTTGGTAATACCAATGTTCACTTTGTCCGGTTTTGTTGCAGTATGCCCCATGTTAAATTCAAATAACTTTTTTTTCTGATAAATAATTTAAAACAATTGCATGATTTTCAACAATCATCCTTGATTTAATTTTAAAATAATTCATTCAATTAGTATTGTTTTAAATGACAACTACCAACCTCATCAAAAAAGCCTTTCCTGGATTATTTAGACCTTTTAATATTACTTCTTGCTCTCCAGAATAACTAAATTCCTTTTTATTTTCATCATAGTCAATTATTTGTCCTCTTGTCCATACTGTAGTATAAATTGAACTAAATCTGTCTTCAGTTAACTTTGTTACTTTTTCAAATTGCTCAAAAGGTATCCATTCTAAAATATTGTTTGGTAGAGATGATTTCATTTGACATTGTTGAATAAAATCATCAATTATGTTGTTGCCAGATGTCCAGGTAGTGAAAAGACTCTGTAATTGTAAACCAATACAACCTTCACAGAATCTGAGCATCTTGTTAATTTGCACTTGTTACATTTCTTTGGTTTTCCCAATTCATACATTACATTATTTAATTCAACCTCATAAATAACTTGTTCTTTACAGTATGTTTTTTTTTTTGACTAATGAAAAAAAATAATTTTCTTGATCAGAATAAACCACTGCATTATTGTTCATTTCATTATAAATTTTACATATAAATTCCTTTCTTTCTGGTGATAATAATTTAACATGTGGCATTATATAAATATAAAATATAGACTCGGGGATTTTTTTAGTTACTATTACATTATTTCCTTTTTTCTCTGAATAAGGTGTAAACAAAAAATTCCTGTATATTTTGTTAGGTTAACAGTTAAATTTTCCCTATAGGATTACTAATTATCTATTACTGTCATGGTAGTGTGCGCCTTTTTTACACTAATAAATCTTAAATAAAAATTGCGCATTTATGGAGAAAGGGAAATTAACCAGCACTTTACAATTTCCGTTATTACAACATATCAAATTAAAATTGGCAGAAGCTTGATTGCTCTCTAAAGCAATATTTACGACATCTAAACTAGGGCAGTCTCCTATTGTAAAATTAGTGGTGGGAGTATCTCCCGCAATGCCACCACATGGTTTTAAAGAACAACTTTAACATCGACAAAATTCATCGTCAAACTTTAGTGATTGATTCATCGTGATTCTAATGCATTCTTCTTCACTATAAAGAGATTATATTAAAATCATTATGTGGGAAATTTTTCAACTCCTTATATTGTGCGATTCACTCATTACATAGTAGGTCCACTATATCAAGCGCTGACTGTAAACGTATGTTCCTAGAGAAGGACCTTCTGGTTTTGTACTTTTTTCAGCCATGTTCGCTATATGTACACATCGTTTCTTATAAATTAGGTAGGACAAACGAATGTATAAAAAGTTTGGTTGAAAATCGTGGAGAAAAAAAATTTTTTTTGAAAAAGTTTTTCTCACTATTATTAATATAAAATCGAGGGAACTTAAACGTAAGAAGATATGGTCACGTATATATTTGGTTCCTTTGCTACAAGCAGAATCAGATCGTGATGCTTACATACGATCATTTGCAGCCCTAGCAAAATAATGAAAGATATTCCAGATTGGAAGGTAGGGGAAGTGTTTATAATAACAAGAAAAGATTCATTCCATCTTCAATTGTTAATAGTATTTTATTATATTAATCATCATCATTTCCACCATCATTATCGTTGCCATCATCGTCATCATTTTCACCACCATCATTATCAAGTCCGCCTTCTTCAATTTTAATAATTTCATTTCGACTTTGACCAATATCTGGTAATTTCTCAATATCATTATCATCATTATCAAATTTGTCGTCTTCAATAATTTCAATATGACTTTTATCATCAATGTCTGATGATTCCTCTGTATCATCATCAATGTCTGATGATTCCTCTGTATCATCATCAATGTCTGATGATTCCTCAGTATCATCATCATCGCCACTGTCATCCTCATTATCAAATTCGTCATCTTCAATAACTTCATTTTGACTTTTACCAACCTCTAATAAATTCTCAAGAGCATTATCATCATGATTGAGTATAGCCTTTTTTATTTGATAAATTAACTTCTCAGTGCAAAATGCAATAAACCCAAACAGAGTGGCTAATACATTATATAAGTTTGTTTCTAGAATAGTTCTATCATTTGGACATAGTATAAACGAGTAAAACCAATCGGAACGATTCCCAAATAATTTTTTTCTTAAAGTTCTTCTCGAATCAAGATGTCTAAATATAATTAATAAATAAACCATTAATCAAGGATTTAATAAAGAAAAAAACAAATACTTACTCTAACCAAACAAAACTTTTTATCGCATCTTTTACATATCTAATCTTATTGTCTCCATATTCAATTCTCGTCAATAATAATTCTAAAATATTATAATGTGCATCAGCCAATGATTTTTTTGAAACTTTCGTCTTGTCTTTAAATATAAGAATATTCATAATTTTAATTAAAGTACATTCTTAAGAAAAAAACAACAATATATAATAAAAGGCGTGCATACATACTTATAATTGATTGATAATAGTTTATTAAAGGATATAAAATTTTATTTGGTGGACTCACAGGATCCAATTTATGATAAATTATTCCAGCACTAACCCATTCTTTTTCATTTTTTTTAAATTCATACAAAACTTCGAATAAAAGTCTATATTTACGCCCATAAAAAAATTAATAACTTCAGTTAAAGAATTTTTTTTCTTTAAAAAATTTAATTTATTCTCATATTAAAAACTAACCGTTTTCCTGTTATCATATTTGGATTCTCTTTATTAAAATTTTTTATGACATTTAAAGCTTCTTTAACAAGCCTTTGTGATGTTAACAACTGATAAACAAATATATATATATTCATATAGTTAATTTTTTTCTTTTT